AACTTTCAGCTCCTTGGCTCTCGTTGCTGGAGAGGTTTATATGCTTACTTTATGGATAAATTAATTTTAATTAGATGCCGCCCTTTAGAGGTCTGGATTTTGTAGTTCTCGGAAGGAGAGGGGAGGAGAAGTAATGGAGGCTAATCTGGATGTGTGACAGGAATCAGAGCTTGGCCTTAATACATGTAATGGCAATGGGATCGGAGGTTCGCAGGGTTGAGAGGTGGTGGGAGGGCATCGAAAGGTGTGTCTGAAAGAGATGGTTCGGACAGTATCTACTGCAGGCAGACCATCTATCTTTTCCCATATCTCTGTATCTGTCTCCATTCTGGTCTCTGTCTCGCTCTGTACCTCTTCTACCATCTTCACCTTTATTTCTACCTTAAAACATTACATTGCAGACAAAGAACTTGGTCTCTTCTCCCAAAGCTGTACAAATTAAACATGTGTGAGACAAAAATGGATATCTCATCTGGATACACAACTCAAACCTTTTCTGCTAATCAACCCATAAGAAGTCAGCAGAGATCAAGGGTATATACGTGCAGTCCTATATTGAGCAGTTTAACACACCATGGACGTTCTGTTTCACCAAAATTGCATAACAAACAAAGCTTATACTCTTCTGGGAGAGCATTAAACTATTAAATCTTTTTTTAGCTAATGGTAACAATAATTATCTTTGACTCTCCATTTCTGTCTTTCCCTCTATCTGTATCTGTTTCCATCTTTTTAGCTCTCCCATCTCTGTCTTTCTGTCAGAGAAAAAAAAACAGAAATCAAGTGACAGTTGAAGTAACATGGACTCATGTGGTGATTTTACCATAATGCGTGTAGGGAACTGATACCTTTTGGTGTAGTAGCACCTTTTCAGAGGAACACCACCCAACTACATTAGTAATGTGTTGTAGTTTTAGCTGTTTTTCCAGTCAGACTGAGACTGTTGATCCAGTCTGGTTAATTCTGGTTTTGCAAGTGATGTTCATTTGAAAAGAATCCCCAACTCCATATATGGTCACAGGTTAAATGAATGAGATGGTCGGTGGTACAAATGTAAACATTGAGTTGAACAAAGAGGAAGCGTGAAAACAGGAGGAGAATGTTTAAGATGAAGCAAGAGTAGGTAAGAAATCAGGTGATCAGGCTCCCCTAAGCCACCTGAATACCAGCGATTCCTGAAGAATGTTTGAGTCCCGTCACATGAGGGGCATGTGAGAGCGGAGAGGGGGAGGAAAGTAAAGCAAGCCGTTGAGTTGCATGTGACCGGCCTCTGGCGCTTTCATGTGGAACTTAAAAACACAAAGAGAGAGACTTTTGGCTTGCAGGATTGTCGTGTGGCTGTAGAGTGAGATCACTGTAGCAAAAAAGGATGAGACAAAGAAAGTATCAGGCCCATCATGCAGACCATTTCAACCATATCATACAATGTGTCCATCAGGCTCCTGTGTTAAATTTTATTAACTTATACAAAGGTAAAATATATTCAAGGTAAATTTTAAGTTCAAGTAGTTTTGTCATTCCAACCATAACCACATAAAAATACACACAAGAATGAGATGCTGTGTCTCTCAGGGCCAGAGTGTAAGACAAACAAAACACAAATATCTAAAATGTATTCTGCATGTTAAATGTCTTTCTGCCCTGAACCTCTCTAACAGTCTCTCCTTGCATGCTGGCCTTTAAAAAAGTATTTTGCTTCTCTTCTCAATCTGTTTCTGCAGATCTTCTGTTGGCAGTGCGCTCCCTAGAAGGCGCTGTTGTGCTTATATAACTATAGGAATGATCTGCATTTTCATTGGAGTGGGTCTAACAGTAAGTAGGCTTCTGTCTTTGTCTGGTTTGTGTTGTTTGTACTTTTTAATGTATGAAAGTAACAATTTATATGTTATTTGTATAAAGCGCTTCTCTGTGACAGCATTTAGCAGGAAGTATCAGACACAATAGTAAACAAACACAAGAGGATAGTGACAAAAGAGAAACAGAGTGGGAGTAGAAGTGAGTCATGAGAAGTCTTTTTTTAAGCAAGACAAAAGTCGGCAGCCATGCTAGCAGCTCTACGAGGCTGTGCAGGTAAGCATGTTGAGCAGGTATAATGTTTAAAATGTTCACTATCTGAGTTTAGCATGTTAGCATGCTAACAATTAGCATTAATGACAAAGGATGAAGGGATTGTCATTCATTTGCATTTATTTTGTCATGAACCAAAGTATTGCATTGTAGTTATAGTTTAGTATAGATTATATTTTGTATAAAAAACACACTCAAAACCACATATGTGAACCTCATCGTAGTGCTAGAGGAAATGTCCGGGGATCACCAAAGTAAGTAGGATTCATCTTCTGGGGACCGTGAATGTCTGTGCTAAATTTCCTGGCAACCCATCCAGTAGTTGTTGAGATATTTTAGTCTGGACTAAAGCGGTAGACTGACCGATGGGCAGACAATGCCATCCATAGCACCACGCCGCTAATATGGCTAATAATGTCTGAGATCTGGAAATATCCAGTAGACACTGGTTAGCGGACCTGAGAGTAAATTACTATATGAGCACAACAAGTAATATACACATGTGATTTGCAGTGCAGAAAGAATTAAAAAAATGTATAAAATGATATAAAAAGAGATATAAAGTGACAAATCTTGTGTAGTGGTTTTGCACCTACATTGCTAGACATCAGTCGCACTTTGGCCTGTGAAGCCACAGGACCGTTCAGTAAACAAAGGCTGTATTTGTACAAACAACCACATATTATTCAGTTTTTCACCATATATGAGTCGCATCAGGATTTCACAACTTGGTTTAATCATATTAGAATCATAATCTTTATAATCATCTCATTGGATTGTAGTCCTCAATATTGTAATTTAAAGTTACTGAACTTGTTTGCATTTTTCTGCAATCTTTCTGATGAAGTGGATCCTTGTCTGACAATACTGATAGTATTACTAATATTCTGAACCACAGTGCTCATCTGCCTTTGAATGAAGTGTTTGTGAAATGCAGTGAAATGTAATTTAGTTCACTTCTTTCTGCAAGATATTCTTGGTGTAAACTTCTGACCCACCTTCTCTTTCTCTCCTCTGTATTAACAGGTTGGTACTCGGGGCTTTGCCAGTCGTTACAACGCCACCTATGTATCCTGGGCATTCGCCTACCTGCTGGGCCTCATCTGTCTGATACGAGCCTGCTACTGGGGCGCTATCAAAGTCAGCTACCCGGAGAACAGCTTTGCCTAGAGTGGGTTCGGCATGGCGTGGCCCTGCACGGCTGGAAGAACAACCCCCACTTTTAATTTTATCATCTTGTTCAGATTTCAAAGTGGTCATGTTCAGTGGAGTGGAACGTCTATAGAGTGTCTGGACAGGAGTGTGTTGAAGAGTGTATGATGGAGATGTATCTTGTTGTGTCTGAAATGTTTTGACTCACTGAACACACCTAACGTATGTCGATCAATCCTCCTACTAGTCCACGAGGACTCAAATCCCGCCCAGGTATTTCAGAAATCCTCCAAAATACAGAATCAAGAACTGCGAAACTTCAGAAACTGATTTTTCTTGGTGAATGCCAAAATAAGCTTGGTGATTTAAAAATAATAGTAACTGGCTGGATTTGTTCTTTCTGGACCAGTTTTGTTTTTGTTGTTGCCCGACTAACATCATGGTACCCACTTGATTTCTTTTGTTACTGACCAGACCAAAATGAGACAACCTCTGAAGAACCGTTTGCCCATTGCACTACGACTATATGCAATTGTATGTGTTGTTTTGCTGCTAGTTAACTCCGGCTACAGAAAGCTGCATATCCATACTGTATTGTAACTATTTACCTTGCCTGTGTACACTGACATAGTATTGCTATATGATTTTAACTCTTGAAATGATTTTTAAATACCCATGTGTGCCAACTTTGCTGCCCAGTATTAGTCAAGAAGAGCATCAAATCAACAGGAGCTTGTTTTCGTTTTTTATCACAGTGTTAATTCTTTGTGCCATGCAGCTTTTAACTCACTACAGCAATAACCCTTTTAGTTACTTTGAACCCTACCTGCAGAACCGTCCCAGTGTTCTTCACTGCATTTTTGTTGCCTTCTGACTAGTGGAAAATGAAAACATAGTGGCTTACATTTGCAATGTTGACTTGTTTATGTTCTGTCACAGAGGTGGTGTGTTTTCTGTGCCACAGAGGGAGCTGAAGCGTACGATGTTCCTGTCTTTGCTCCTTCTGCCTGTGAGTTAGAATGTAAATCCTCCTCCTTCCCTTCGCTGTCTGACCTCCAGTGAACTCTGTGCTAGCTAGAATCGCTATAGGCTAACTCAGCATTCTGTCTCTTGACCAGTGGGCACAGTCCTAACCTTGTTTTGAATGTGATGATGATGATGATGATGATGATGATGATGATGAAGCAGAAAATAATATAAAAAAAAACTTGTACTACTACTGTAACTTGAACTGTACATAGGTCAAATTCAGGACTTTGAAAACTGTAGTGAGAGGTGGAAGAAGAGGGTGGCTCGTGGGTCTTTCTAAAAATGATAATTTATCAATAAAATGCAGAAACTGCCTGTATTGTTGTGTTTGCTTGTTGGCTGTGATGTTTCAGACTTACCACATTTGTTTCCATTTAAGGCTACTTTACTTCATATTTCTACTTCAGTACAATCTATCTATCTATCGGTCTGTCTATCTTCATTTTCAATAATAACATGATGATCTTATAACATATATCTTATATACATAGTATATCATAAATTTGATAGTATAATACTGTGGGGACATTACCAATTTTAAATGGAGGGCTAAAACTTTGAATATTTGTATATTGTATCAGTACTACAGATACGTCAAGTTCAGTTTTTCGTGTGTGCATGACGGAAACACTAATGTGCTTTAATACATCATGATATGCTCAAAAGTCAAACATTTGCTTGGTTCTGTGTCTTGGGGTGACAATGGAATGCATGCATGGAAATAACTGCTGCAACAACGGAGACAAAATATATTGCATTTTAACTACATGACTTTTAATAAATCACAAGTGAAGGTTCTTGACATTTGAATAAAATTCTTAAGGTGGCAGAGTGATTGTGATAGTAGGAAGAAAGCATAGTTTCATGCTCAGTTCAGATTGAGCTATCAGAAATACATCCTGGAAGAACGCATGCTGGAGATGAGCAAATATCAAAGTTAGTGACAAGGTGTGGCTGAAAGTGTGTTTCAGTAGTTCCTGTGAAAAATGGAAGTAGAGTAAAATATTTTATACTCACACACAGTGGATGGAGGTGAACCACCACCATCATCATTCATAGCCATCAAGGCGCTCTGACATTGAGCTATTACTCCCTCTGTAATGCGTTGAAAAGAATTAAGGTGAACCGATATGTGTGCAGTTGTGTGTCCTCGATGTGTGCGGAGTCCATGAAGGGTGATGACAGCGGTGAAGGACAGTCGGCTGAACCCTGTTTATTATATGAGCACTAGTCTGGTTAGACAAATCTCTGCTATGACGTTCTGACACTTTAGATTATCCATTTTTCCTGAGAGGTGATGTCGCTGATTACGTGTCCCGGGCTAAAATCATTGAGAGGAAGATCTTGGCCTGGGCTCTAAAAGTTCAGCGTCTTAAGATTTACATCATTATTACGCTAAATTGATTGTGAAGTTAAAACCAAAAAATAACATGTTATGGAGCAGTTTTTAATTATTTACAGGTTGCAAATATGTGAAGGTATCATTTACTAGCTTAAGTTACATATAAATAAACCCAGTTCTACATGTATTAAATGCTCCTTCTTATTTGTGTTCATTAGTTATTTTGCAATAATATAATACTGAATCCTATTATATGTGATTCAAATGCCTTCTATTGCTATACCCTGGGCATAATTAATTTGTATTCAGATGCTCTGTGTGAATTTCACAATGAAAGATCGGTGTACACCCAGTCCACAGACTCTTTATCCTCCACTGTTTATTCCAGTGTCCTATGTGATGAGAGTCGATCGATCGTCTTCTTGTTTGGTTGTAAAAACAGAATAATAACCATGAGTGATAACAACTGAGATCAGGACTGACACCGTACAGTCATTACAGCCATTTTGTAACCAGTCAGCTTGAGTGAACTGAGTAAGTGTTCATTTCTCTATTACACCCACACACGTATTTTCACGTAAGTTGCGTAATTAGACCTTAGACAACTTACCCTGTCGTTATTGGCAGATATTTTGTCTGTTAGGGCTCCACTGAACATCAATCTGACCTGAAGTCTAATCAACCACAAGAATTGAAAACACGTGTCTGGGTACGCAGGGCCTTTAAATATTTTTCATCAAGCTGTTGTCCTTCATTTAATGATCTCATGTGATTACTTCATGTATAATAATGATGCATTTAATTAGTGGTCATATTTCCTGTCCATTAAAAAAAACAGAATACCTCTCAGCAGCCGGTTCTTTTATCGCTGCAGTAGTGCTATGTGTCCACAAGGTGATGCCATTGGCAAACATGTGAGTGTGCTTTGGTCTTGCATACAAACATAGAAGAGACCAACAGTGAAAAATTTGTCCATTAAAACCTATTATTCTAGCCATTATTATTTTAAGTTAAATCATCTTGACTCTGCAAACAAACTGGTGGGCTTAGGAATAAATTAGGCTATCCATCCCTGATGCTTGTGAGGGCACAAATTTCATATTTGGAACAAATAGATCACCTTTTTGCAGACAAATAGACAAACAAACCAACAACCAGGGGTAAAACATGAAGGTACCTTCTACATAAAGAGTGAGAAAGAGATACACATAGCGTACACAACAATATATATTGTCTTTATTTATAACTAACATATTTTTATCTCAATTTGACACATTAAATACAGAAACAACAGACAATGGTTTAATGAGCTCCCCAGAGCTGCTACAATTGATACAATTATATCTGTCCCTCCCTCTCTTCCTCTCTCTCTCTCTCTCTCTCACACACACACACACACACACACACACACATCCACACACATCCACAAACGCACAGAGCTCGCTGTGTCACGCACACTCATTGCTCGCTCTGCCTCACATGATCTACCCTGGGCAGCAGCTGATGTCATGTCAAACACAGTGATGATGTCAGATCATCAGATGGGTTTCTGTCTGACAAGGTCATTGCTTTAGGACGTCAGAGTGTCATCTAGGAGTGTAAACAAAACACACACACGGGCTATTTCAGCTACCACCTAAGTATGAAGGAACATGGAGGTCATAAAATCGATACTAATCACCATGAAATCACCATGAGTTGTGTTGAGTTAGTGTGTGTGTGTGTGTTAATGTGTGTGTGTGTGCACGCGTGCTGCTGTGGACTTCCTGATGTGTTGACAGTTGGCTGTTTGCTCTCTGCACCCATCAGTGATGATCTGTGAAGGGTGCTCGCCCACTTTCAGTTGTTGTTGAGGACCCACCATGAGGCTGTGGAGGAGACGAAGGAGAAGAAAAAACATTCACTGACCCCCCAAAATGACCCCAATCAATTAGACATTGAGTGCGCTCTCCTCTGTGGGCTGTGTGTATTTTGTGTATTTGACAAATGTGTTCAGCACTGCCCTCTGCTCTGCTTGTGGGTGGTCATGTGAAGCTGGTAATGATGCTTGAGAGAATGAACATCAATTTATTGTAATAATGCAGGAAAAACAACAGAAAGACAATTGGTTGGGACATGTGTACTGGGAAAAAATGGTAAAAACTTGCCAAAAACATATTTATTATGAATGAAAAGGAGGGAAATCCAACGTTTGATTTTATTTGGCAAAGATGGACGAGTGACATGATTATCTGGCTGTAAAATGTCCTTTTACATCATTAGCTTTACAGCTCAAAACAGTATTTATTCAGTTTGACAAAACATACACACAAAAAAACAACAATAAAATGAAAAAAATTCAATGCAATGCATTTCATGGCCTTCATCCAGAGTTGCTCAGTTGTCGGTGTTTACAATATCTATAGCTATATATTGGTATCTTTTAAAAACTTTGGCATCCTGACTTGAATTTAAAAATTAAGTTCCAAGGGTTTGAGGAGCATTTGTCTGCATGCTTTGTGATTGTTGACAAACCTACCGAAGTGCACCTGCAGAGTTTACCTTTAAGAAGTGTGAGATCAGTTGAAAATGATCTCATGAGATGTTACAAGTTTGTGTGTGGTGTGAGTTGAGAATCAGAAGGAGCTTTAATGAATGTTCTTACCAGGAACCAACATGGTGGTTACAATCTCAGGAGTTTCCAGGAAGTCCACGTTCCCCCTCTGGAAGGTCTTACTGTAGTTGGTCTGCAGGTGACTGGGCAGAAGAAACAACAAGATTCACTTAATGATTGTGAATAAAACATGAAATTACAGGAAAATATGAACAGTTTTGTATTCGGTCAATAGGATAAAAAAAAGTGATGAAAAGTAGCCCATATGTGCAGAAAAAAAAGATCTTATGAATAAGCGGAACTTATTATATCCATGTCTCTGTTTCGTATGTTACATTATTGGACATTAGAAATGTATTGTTGTAGCCTGTTGGGGACATATCCTGTGCACTATACTGCATTTCCCTGTATGTTCAGATGCTGTTTTGTATCTAACATCGAGAGAATTCTATATAAACAAAATCTTTCTCCATTAGGTATTTACATTATTTTATCTTCCCCCTCTGAATATGATTATTTATCCTGAATGTCCTGGCAGCAGATTTCATTTCTACGAAGGATGCACAAATGTCAGATCAAATATTGACATTCCATCAATATGTGTATTTAGGCTATATGAGTGTATGCAATTTGGTACCATTGAAACATTTAACCTCATTGAATGTTTACTATGGAAAATAACAAACTAGACATGGCATTCTGCAGACTAAGTATACCTTGGATACAAAATATAACATGTCAAGTCATCAAGACTAATAATAAACCTGATATGTTATGACCACAGAATCTCAGTATATTCCTTTTCATTCCCATTAATTCTGCAATTATTCCACATTTCTGCCCCACTGAGGTTCCTGTCATACTGACAACTTTGTTTTTTCTCATTACTTTCCTTATAGCTTCACAGAGTACACTAAACGCAGCGTGAACCAGACCTTCTCTCAGAGTTCAAGCTGTGCTAAGAAAATTATTTGAACAGGCCACGGTGCATTAGTCATGATGCATATGTTGCAGGCAAATACTTACTTCTTCCAAACGTTGTTGTGTTCCCAGAATTCGTAGAGAATGAAGCGTGATTCATTTGCCAGGCGCTGAACTGCGATGCTGCCAAATGCAAAACAAGAGAGAGCACAAGTCATGCAATCACTAATTAGTGTGCTACATCATGTCCCCACAGCCTCTCTGTCTGAACACTTTCCCACACTCTGACTAAGTAAATCTGTCAAATAACACTTTCTGTGGATCATCCTCAAATGATGATTATATAGCGTTTTGTAAGAGGTTTTGGTCTCATTTGAACTTGAAAATGATCAAACATGACTGACTCTTTAAAGAAATAATCATGACAAAGGATGTAAATGTCACGCTGTCCTTCCGGCTACTGGATTTTGTCTGAAACCAAAGTGACAGTTAATGTGAAAGTTTTTTTCCCCCCTGCTTGGGTTGAATTTTACCATGAAGCCTCAGCAGTGACAGAGCTAATGTTTAAAACGACCCAGTTTGTTGCTGTCTGGTGCTACACTAAAGCCAGAGCACATTTTTACAGGGGACGCATTTTACAGATGACCGTATTTCTATTTTAAAGTTTCATTATTAATTCAGCTTTGTTCATAATCTTATTGCGATTTCTCAAATTTCTCTAAATTTAGACATTTAAACATTTAGAGACTCTGCCCTCTAGATTCTTAATGTGATTTATATTAAAAAGGTCAGTGCTCTAAACTTTGAGCTATCCATCGTGCTACAGATACAGTAAGCACAAAGATTTAATGTTTTTTTTCTGTAAGTGAAACGCTGCTCATGTCTATGTAGTGGAACAACGGTGTGGATTTGTGCATTTTATGTTAAATAAATTTGGAGCTACTCCAAATTCCTCCGTTCCTCTCCCAGAGAGGCGCAGGGGGTTGGAGATCAACTTTCAACGGAATACAAGGGAGACCCCAACGAAGGGGGGGTGAAAGTTGCTTTCTCTAAGTGCTATCCCTGACCATAAAACTGGCACCTTTTTGATTCCGAAGCTGATAACGCAGGGCCTGACTGTTAAACTGAAAAAGGGACACGAACCAGCGATTAGCATTTCCCTGAACAGCCTATCAAAACTGGCCCCCCACATGTAACCGTGGCAACTGACCTTGCTCTGTGTTTCATTACCCCATCAAAGGGATACCCCTGTCTCACCCAAGTAGTGACATAACCCAGGAAGCCGAACTTTAAATTACCAAAGACTGCAGTCTCCAAAGACTCAAAGCATTTAATTAAGTTTAATTAAATCTTTAGTTACCTGATTACGTTTGCCTCTATTTGAGTAGTTATGTTGACATGTTGTTGCTATCTGTTGTTGATATTAGTGCTGAAAAGAATCTAAATAAGTTACTTTTGCAGTGTTTTTATTTTCAGCAAGACACTCCCTCATCTAATGTAATCAATGCTTGTTCATAATACTTTCCTACAAAATTCCTTTAGAAATGATGATAAAGAAATGTTTTACTATACTCTTAATCGCCAGCTTGAATTTAAGGATGAATCAACAATATTCCCCGGTTCCTAAAGAGAGATGATCTTGGATTAATCTAAGCTTTCCTCATGTAACCTGAACCGGAAATTTTTTTATTATAATACGTGCAAATAGATTTTCTTTTCTTTTAGACATTAAGTTTAGAAAGGCAGTCCCTTGGGAAACCTGAAACGCCCTCTGGGGAACCACGCCCCAGGCAACGAAAGAGCGACACGCGACGTCGTTCACTCTCTTCTCTTCTCTCTCCTCTCTCTCGGCTCTCTGCCCTCTGGACGCTTCGACACGCGTCTGACGGGCCTCGCCAAGCAACGCCCTCAGAGTCGACCGGCCAGCCCTTTGTTCGCTTGAAGCTACACACGTGAAATGCCGCGACATCAATCTGCCCCTCAGTTTGTTTTATTTTCTTTCTTTCTTTTGTTTTGTTAAAGTTATCAGTCCGTTAAGTTACACTGGACTAATTCAGGAACGACCAAGTTCCATTTTAAGCTTTTTCGTCGAGCCAACTTCACCGAGGTCAGACCAAGCCACATGGTCTCGCCAGCGGCAACGAAGGAAACCTGAAAACAGCCGAACTGACAGA